CAGCATTACATGTATTTACAGCATTCTGTAACAGATATCTAGATATTTTTCATCTTTTGTTGTCATGTACGAATGGAATCAAAGGGTATTTATCTCTTTGTCTTTGGTTTATTTCACTTAGCATGATGTCCTCAGACATCAGCAATGTTGTGGCAAATGATAACATTTCTTCTCTTTATAGGCTGAATAATATGCCATTGTTTCTATGTGCCACATTTTGTTTAGCCATTTATCTAATGATGGACTTTGGTTGAGTTGCACTTTGCTATTGTGAATAGTGCCACTGTGAACACAGGGTTACAAATGTTTCATTGGGATCTTACTTTCAGTTCCTTTGACTACATATCCAGATGTAGGATTTCAGGGTAACATGATTCTATCAGAAAATATTTATTATTTATTATTTTTACTTTATGTGTACGAGTGTTTTGCCTGCATATATGTAAGTGCACCCATGTTGTGCAATGGCCATGGAGGTCAGAAGAGGGTGTTGGATTCCCTGGAACTGGAGTTATGGACAGTTGTTAGCTGCTATGTGGGTGCTGGGAATCAAACCCAGGTCCTCTGGAAGAGCAGCCAGTGATCTTAATCACTAAGCCATCTCTCCAGGCCCTATTTTTCATTCTTGAAGAGAGCCTTATATTGTTTTTCATTGTGGCTGCACTATTTGATATTCCCCACAGTGCACAAGGATTCCAGTTTCTTTACATCCTTATACCATCTCACATTTAAAATATTTTTATTAATACTTCAGGACTTTCGTACGCCATATTTTAATTATGTTCATCCTTGTACCATTTGCATATCTTCAGAGAAATGTCTAAGTCTTTTGCTCATTTTTAAGTGGATTGCTTGTGGCTTTATGCGCTGCAGAGGTTTCTGAGTTCCAGAGGGTCTTAATATATTCTGAACATCAGCTTCTTAGCAAATATGCCATTAGCAAGCATTTTTTTTTTGTTCTGCAGATTGTATTTTCATTTTGTCAATTGCTTTCTTTGATACACAAACATTTTCAATTTGATGTAATTCTGTTGTCTATTTCTGGTTTCGTTAACTATGGCTTTGGGTGTTAAACTCAAGAAACCATTTCAAAATCCAACGTCACAAAGATTTTTCTGTTTTTCTTCTAGAAGTTTTGTGTGTGTAAGTCATGTTTAGGTCTTAGTAATTTTGAGTCAAGTTTATACGATTGTCTTAGGTAAAGGTTTCACCCTTCCTCTGCATGTAGAGATCCAGTTTCCCCTGCATCATTTCTTAAGGAGACTGTCCCGTCACTGGTGCCCATGTCAATGGTTGCATCATTTGTGGGGTTTATTTCTGGCTTTCATTCCATTCCCGTGGTGATAGCCTGCTTTTCTGTTTTCACTCCTTAGCGTTGTAAGACATTTTTGAAGTCAGTATGTGTGATAATCCCACTTTGTTCTTCTTTTCCAGTACTATTTTGACTCTGAGGTATTTCACATTCTGCACGGATTTTTGGATTTTTTTTTCAATAGCTATCTAAAATGCCCTTGGGGATTTTGATATGGATGGCATTGAATCTTTGGATCACTAATATTGTTAAACACTGCAATTATTTAATATTATTAAGCTTTCTAAGTCAGTTGTCCAAATTAATATTCGATGACTTTCTATCTTTAATTTCAACAATGCTTATAGTTTTTAAGTATATAATTTTTCACCTACTTGGTTAATTTTATTTCTAATTATTTTACTCTTCTAGTGTTATTATAAATGGGATTATTTAAATTTTTTTCTTTCAGATTGGTCATAGAGGAATTTTTATTTTTAAATGATTAATAGACTTCTTCAGTGATGCCATATGATTCTGGGGACATTTTTCATTGAAAGGTATTTAATTATTGATTCAACATCCTTTCTAGTTACAGTTATATTCAGATTTTTTATTTCTTCATGATTCACTCTTCAAACCTAGGAATTTTTCCATTTTTTTTCTGTGAACTTTTGACAACTGTCCCTTATTCATCTGTATTTAGACCACTCCCGAAAAGGCTTAGGTTTAGTATTAGTGTTAGGGTTAGGGTCTGCCTTAGGGTTAGATTTAGAGTTAGTGTTAGGATTAGAGTTAGGGCACTCCATGGTAAATACCTGCAGTGCTGCAGTTGAACTCAGGGCCTTATGCATGTAAAAGGCAAATATTCTATCAACTGAGCTATATCCCTAGTCTTGTTCAACAGATGACTTGGTACAGTTCATCAAAGAGGGCAACTGATATTGAAGGGGTTTCCACACTCATTGAGGGACTGTCACTCTTTCATAGCAAGCTCAGTGCCTGTCAGGGGGATGCTCATGGAACAGCTGCCTCGTGGAAGAAGTGCTGTTTCTCCAAGTTCACTCTCTGACATCTATGCAGAAATAGTAGGAAGACTTAGCCTTCAGTATCTCCAACACCTTCAGTTTCTAAACAGGAAATCTTATATGAGTGTCGGTTTTATCATGCATTAAACGGGAACCCATGTTTATAGTCTAAGGAGAAAAAAGTCGTAAAGGAATATCCTCAGCTTCCAAAGGAGAAACATTAGTTTTACATTCTCCAAATTATAGGGAATTAAAAATGGGTTGAGTATATAATTTCCTCACCTCGAAAATGTGTGATTTTTAGTTGGGAGGTAAACAGAGAAATAGTGGTGGTAGATAGACTAGGAAAGAATGGCAAGTTGACTGACAGTCCTTACTAGGAATCATACCTTATGCCCCAAGGTATGAGCCTATGTAACAGCAGCCCGTGAGTTCCCTGTAGGTACCAATATCTTGGAGGTGGAGCCAAAACAGCAGGCTAGGACATTTTGCTGATTTTTAACTGACTGGAAGCTGTTTCTTCCTTTTGAGATTAAAATAAAAAAAAAAAAAGAACAAAAAGTTTTAACTGAGGCTTCATGTTGCTCTGTTTTCTGTAACAGAATTAGAGAGCTTTTCCTGTTGTTGTTCAAGGGGATTTTTATTTGGCAGTATTTATCTAATCAAGTAGAATTTTTTTAACCTCCAATATTGTGTCAGCTCTGGAGTTAGTTTCATAGTAAAGAAATAATTTTATTCCATTAAACTTTCAGATTTACTGTAAGCATTTAAAATTCTCAGCAGAGTCACCATTGCACTGTTCAGTAATATCAAGAAATCAGTGATATTTTAATGAACACCATTAACCTTCAAATTCCAGTGAAACAAGATAGTTTAAACCCTCTAATGTAGGATTGGTATATAAGACTTAGTATACTTATATAAATCTAATATAGGATTGGTATATAAGACTTAGTATACTTATATAAATCCTTGCGTAGTGAATGTCTAATAAATGCAGCTAAAAAGAAATTCCATGGGGCTGGAGAGATTCAGTGGGTAAGAACACTTGCTGTTCTTCCAGAGGATCCAGGTTTGATTCCCAGCACCACATGGAGGCTAATAACCATTCTTAACTCCAGTTCCAGGAGATTCGACACCCTCTTCTGGCCTTGTATGGGCTTTGCCCAACATGGGTGCACTTACACACATGCAGGCAAAACACTCATACATATAAAATAAAAATAATAAATAAAATATTAAAAAAGAAATCACTTTAATCATTTTAATAAAATGTTAAAAGAAATTAGGATGTAGAGAAATAGTGATGCCTCAATAAACAGCTCTTTTAGTATCCTGCTATTCTTCCCATCCACCTAGCTTTTTTGTGCCTGGAATGTCCTGAGTTTTACCAGCTAGACACATTTCTCTCCTTGAGAGCATGTTTGTGGTTCTACGAGGGGAATGCAGCTTCTTCTGTACTATTGATCTGATGGTTCCCTCTTGGTCATCTTGGTCTAGTTGGAAGCTTCTGGAGGGACACATAGAGTATTGACGCAGAAAAAAGGTATGTGCATACTTAGCCCAGTCAGCCGAACTGACCCTGGTGACTGGCAGGGTGACCAGAGTGCCAGTGGGTGGCTCAGGTCTTTGGTCTTATCCCTTCACTGCCTGCAGACTCCCTCGGCGACCCAGTCTTATTTGACCTAATGCTTTACTTATCCTCTGCCTGCAATTGACTTTCATATTACAAGGCCTAGACGTCGCTCCTAAACTCCGTACTACTTTGTGCGTCTTCCTATTTAAGAAGTTGAGGTCTAGAATTAAATTTCAAGTAGGTACTTCCACACTTTGCATTTTCAGAACTGAACTCAGGTCTTTTCCCACAATATATTCTATCTGCTTGTCCTGGATAACTTGACAGCAACTCCATTTATTTGATGAGGATGATAATGGTGGTGGTGGTGATGATGATTTTGTCCTGGTGTTTAACTCATGGCCTTGTGCTTGTTAGACAAGTGCTCTAATACTGAACTATATTCCCAGCCCTCTTTTCACATTTTATCTTGAGACAGGGTCTCATTAGGTTTGCCAAACTAGCTTTGAACTCAATCTGTAGTCCAGGCAAGCCTTGAACCTAAAGTCTTCCTGCTTCATTCTCCCTTGTAGCTGACACTATAGATATATAGTTTTGTGACCAATCACACATGAGATGTTGTCTGCCTGTCTACTGCCTTTTTTCTGATAGAAACATTTAGTATGGAATGGCAAAATACATGAGGTCTGGTTGGGGGATGGGGGACATGGATGGGTAGGGGGCCTACATTTGATTAAGAATTGTTGTATAAAACTTAAAAATCTCAATAAAATTAAAAAAATTTTCACATGGGTTTTTAAAAATATTTCTTGAAGCAATAAATTGACATGTGAGACATTAAGAAAGAAAAGGATGTCTCACCATTGCCTTCCCTGGAATGAGTTGGAGGTATATACCAACTGCAGCAGTAATGGTCTATGTTTAGAAAGGAAACTCAACTTGTCATTTCTATTAAAAAAAAAGCCTAAAATAAAAGTTCAAAAAAGAACTATTTTATTTCTGGAAAACGTGTTAGTTCTGTAGCATTTGCAATGACAGCAATGTGTGAGTCTTTGTGCTGTGAAATTCACTGATCAACTCCATTGATATCTTTTCTTTCTTGTAGTGTATGCCAATTAAAGGCCTAGGATTTGTTCTTGGAGCCTACCAGTGCGTTTGCAAAGCAGGATTCTACCATCCTCGGGTCTTCTCCGTGAACAACTTTCAGAGTAAGTGCCTTTTGCTTCCGTGCACGCACCTGTTACACAAACCTGCACTGCTGAAAATCATTCAGATTTTCTTTAACCTGTTGAAGTTACAAGATTAAATCCACGCCTTTGGTGTTCTTTAATCGTTGCAGGAATTAGGGTTTTGATATATCATCTATAGTGCTTTGGAGGGCCTCAAATATATGTACATATGAATATTTTAGTTGTTAAAACACTTTAAAAGCCTGAAAATATTGTAGCTCTTGGGGGTGACCATTTGGGATTTAATTTTGAGAGTTGTTAATACAGTTTCTAAAAACAAATTTTCTAGTTGTCTATGAGTTTGTTCATACATTCATTTTCAAGAGTGCATGGGAAGTTATCAAACAGTGAACAGCTTCAAGCAACATGGATTTATTATCATACAGTTTCCATTGTTCAGGCTGCCAGTCATGGATCAAATGGGCCCTCTACTCAGGGTTTCACCAAATTAAATTCAAACTCTCACCTGAGGTGCTATCTGAGGCTGAGGGTACTCCTCAAAGACATTCAGATTGTTGCTGGAATTCAGTTCTTTGTAGCTATAGGTCCAGGGTACTAGTTTTCTGGCTGGATGTTTCCTGAAGTCACTCTCAGCTCACAAGTCGCATCAGGGTCTCTACCCTCTCACATTGCCTCTCTCTCCTCCACAGCCACCAGATGACCCTTCCACCCTACAAACTGTCTCAAGTAACAAAATTGTGGGATGACATTCTGTCACCTTGATATATAATGTCCCCCAATTGAAGGAGAGAATGATCCCTCGTATTTACAGTCTATTCACATCCAAGTAGGCTGATTATACATGGTTTATATAGCAGAACTGAAACTTGGTCACCTGCTTACTTTATTCTTATCCCAGAGAACAGTAGTGTTAAAATTGAAATACAGAATTTTATTCTCTCTGTAGTGTAGCAAGAATGCCATGTTGCCATATTGATTTGTAGCCAGCTATTGGACATACTAACTGACAAGAGCAATAGAGTTGGTAAAATGGAATGGTCTCGTGGGAAATTAGGTTTGGGACTAGGAAAACTGAGGCATGTGTGTCTTTCATATAATTACCCCTTAATCTTAGACACCTTGTTACTACTGTGTGAGCAATTAGCATGTCTAGTAGGCGACATTCAAAGGAGGCTCTAGCTTGGCAGTTTTCCTTTGGGAATTTTGTTAGACATTTGTAGGTCTATAATAGACTGTTTAAACCATTCTTAGTCTTGAGACAACTTTGACTTCTTGGTTACTCACTCATATATTTCAGAGTTTAGCCCTTGTTCCTGGCTGTAGGCAGGCCTGTGGGTGGCTTCATCTTCTACACACACTGCATAATCCCCTCTGTTTATGTGTGCTGGGGCCTCTAACTACAACAAAACAGTCTTCTTGCCAAGAGCTTTGTCATAGAACAAAGGTGCTGCCATCACCTTGTGATTATATTGTGGCATATGAGAAACCCCTGTAGAAGACAGGGAGATGGTTGGGGGAGGAAAGAAGGGAGGGAGAGAGGGAGAGGGAGAGGGAAGGGGAGGGGGAGAGGGAGGAGGAAAGGGAGTGGGAGAGGGAGCTCTCTTTCTGTGAGAAGAGCAAGTGCTTAGGAACTTCAGAGCAGAACCCCTACTGGCAGCCTTCAAGAGAACAGGGACTTGGGTTCTACATTGAAAGGAAGTGAGTTCCTTAACTGCCTGAATGTTCCTGTAAGAATCTGAGCTCCCAATGAGAATGTGGCCTAAACAAATGACTTGAGTCCAGCTTGCCAAGATACTCAGCTGGTGACCCGGTTGCACTAAGCCCAGATTCTGACCAACAGAGATGAAGAGATAACAGACATTTTATCTTGAATTTTTGTAATTTCTCTCCCAGCCATAGGAAACATACAATAGCCATGATGCTACTGTGTTTTCAGGATGTTATTGGTTTTTGATTGTGTGTGTGAGTCTGTGTATTGTGTGTGTGCTCATATGTGTGTACAAGTGTGTATGTGGATGTGTAAGTATATATGTCTGTACACAAGTATGTGTGTCTATGTGTGAATCTGTGTGTATGTGTACATGTCTGTATATACATATGCCTGTGTGTATGCATAAGTGTATGTATGTGCACAAGTATGTGTGTATGTGTGTTTATTTGTTTGTATGCATTTGAGTCTTTGTGTATGTCTGGGTATGTGTGTGTGTGCCTCTGTGTTATGTCTGTATTTGTGTGCATGTGTATGCATGTGTGCATGTGTGTATATAAGCATGTATATGCATGTGTGTATGTGTATTTATGCATGTGTGTTTCTGTGTATGTATGCATGCATATATGTTTGTGTATATGTGTGTGTGTATGTGTGTATTTATGTCTCTGTATGAATGTGTGCATATATGTATGTGTATATATGTGTGTGTATATGTGCATTTATGTCTCTGTGTATGTCTCTGTGTGTATATTTGTGTGCATGTATATCTGCATATGTATGTGTGTCTCTGTGTATGCATGTGTGTACATATGCATGTATGTGTATGTGTGTGTGTGTGTGTATACAAACGCAGCAAGCCCAGAAAAGCTTTGGCAGTCTTCACATTCTTGGTCCAGACATAACTTATGACTCAGCACTGAAGGAGTGAAGGAATAGGCTTAGCTTGTGTTCTTTGAAGGTATTTTGTGTCTGGTTTACCCACATTTGTTCTCAGCTCCCACTATGTGACAGAAATAAAACATCTAAATATTGTGGAACCAGAGAATGACTGTGGCACTTGCTCATAATACTACCAGGAGAGACTGTTAACCTTTAACAACTTATCTTTATTTAATGTGCATACTCCTACTTTCCCCCTTATTTTAAAAGCTAGTTTTATATATATATACA